ATATATATATATTTCTTTTTTTTATGATAAGATAAAAAATGTACAAAAACAAAAATTATTATAAAAGTGTAAATTGAATTATCGATAATATAAAAAAAATGATAGTGCATAAAGAAAGAATTGAAAAGATAGAATAAAAATTTTTATGTAAGGTTTGATTTTTGCAAAAGTCAATTTTAAAAGCTGAAAAATTAATGTTTTTGCATTTTTCTAAACCTGCAAGTAAAACTAATATTTAACAGAATTTAAAAATATTAAATTAATATACTATTTAATTAAAATTCCTAGGATTTGGAAGGAGTAGCAGACCTGTTTTCAGCAGTGAAGGAGAAAAAGCCGAGGAGCAATTAGTACGTTCTGTGGAAGAATGGAGAAGAGAGATGCAATTAGAAAATTTTGTATTACTTGGTCATTCGATGGGTGGTTTTCTTGCAGCGTCTTACGCTATGCAGTATCCTGATAGAGTAAAACACCTCATACTGGCCGACCCTTGGGGCTTTCCCGAGAAGCCCTCCGAAGTTTCCACCAAGTCTGGACATATACCATTCTGGGTTAAAGCTATAGCATTTGCGGTACAGCCCTTCAATCCTCTATGGGCGGTTAGAGTGGCGGGACCATTTGGTTGGTATTTTTGCAAATATATAAAAAATATATATATTTATTTATACAGGATGTCCTAGACATATCACAACACCCGTTAATTCAAGCAGATTAAAACCCATTAAAACGAGGCAGATTTCTGAGATCATTTCGTGTTACGGTAGGTCTGGGATATCCTGTATACTATATTATATACAAATTGTCTACATTTCATATATTCCATACAGTTTCGTACATCACTGAATTTTAAAACGTTTATTACAGGGCAGTGGCTCATTGAGAAAACGAGACCTGACATAGTAAAGAAGTTTTCTCCCATGTTGAATGATGACACTACCATAATTTCACAATATATACATCAGTGCAATGTGCAGACACCGTCGTAAGTTTCAAAAATAAATGTTTGATGTAATTCAAGGAAAAAATTACACGATTCTATGTTATATATTTAATTAACAGAGGCGAAAGCGCATTTCATTCAATGATGCATGGTTTTGGCTGGGCTAAAAATCCCATGGTCAAACGAATGGACAACTTAAGAGAGGATATACCCATAACATTACTGTATGGCAGTAGATCATGGATTGACAATTCAGCTGGTGAAATGATTAAGCAATACCGATCTTCATCGTACGTTAACGTTCAGGTATAAAAATTAAATCGTGAGGCATGCTACGTGCAAAATAAATTCTTAACTGTCCATATAAGAGGATAATTATTTTACAGGTAATTACTGGAGCTGGCCATCATGTTTATGCGGACAGAAGTGAGACCTTCAATAAATACGTACAGGAAACATGCGCTTTGAGCGATTCGACATCTCGTTTAACATCAGCGAACTTACGTCCGTATTCTAAAGTGATAAAGGAACAAGAAATAAACGTAACTTTACCTGATGAAGCGTTTGAAGCACCAAGACCAAAGGAATAGAGTTTGAATGTACAATATTTAATTGAATCAAGATTTAATTGAAGTTTAGTGCATGATAATTTTATGAAACTACACGGGTGTAAGACAATGCAATTGATATCATTAATATGATATTGTTTTCCGGATATTACTATAAGTTATGTTAGGCCCATATCAAACGATACATTGGAGATGAGATAGCGAATTGGAGATTAAAGTTCGATTTATCAAGACAAAGTAGATTAATATCGAGATTATTGATTGTTCGAATTCTAATCTCTACTTCGGAGTCCTTAATCTTCAATGTGTAGTCTGATATAAATTTAATAAAGTTAAAATTGTATATAACGTACAAACATGTAAGTGTAATCATTTTTACACATCGTACAAACTTTTGAACTGTGACCTAAAATTCTTTGACTATAATTTTTTTATTCTGCAAGGTAAATGTTTAATTGCAATTGATTATAAAAGAAAAATCTTATTGTAACAACACTATTTTCTTCTAGTATTAGTTCGCATGCTTATAGTAATATATCGTCAGAATTTCCAAAGATTGAGAGCAAAGTTAATATATTTTGTTCTGTTGACAGAAAACTATATATGGTAAACATGTATTAAAATAAAGAGGGGAGAGAATATTAGTGATTAAATATTTAATATAAATATTTAATGATTAATCATTAATAAGTCGTATATGTATCGCGTGCGTGTATATTTTTTTAAATTTTTTAACATAAGTGTTATGTGTAATCTATAGATGTGACATAAAAATGTAAATTGACACTTGTCGATTTTGTGTGATAATGATTGTAGATATTGTAAATATTTCAAAATATATATTACTTGCTCTTGTTTTTGTTGCTAATTGCGTTATCTAATCGTGTAGAAAAATTTTATATTGTATATTGTGTTGTATAATTGCATTATGAATTACACAACACAAGTTGTTACCAATAAATTATTTATTTTACACAAATGTATAGAACCAAGCATTAGTATTATATTTATATTTTGAACAATAAAAATTGTTCTGCAATAATTGTTTTTTTTTTAATTATCATGTTTTATCATGGAAATTATCATTGCACTTGTCAATATCATATTCACTCTCATAATCAAATTCCATTTCCTCCTCTTGTCCTTCTTCCTCTTCATTATTTTCTTCAATATTATTCAACTCTTGTTCACGCAATCGTTTCACACAACGTTTGCGTTTTTCTTCTATTCGTCTTTTGGCAAGGAAGTCCGAGAAGAGCTGTTGTTGCTCCTTTTCTGTTAAGAAATCTGTAACTTTTTGTGAAACCAGATTACTATCTGCATTAGTATTCTCCGTGTCCAACATGCGTCTTTGCACAGCTTTTCTTGATTTAGATAATGAAGCAGTAATCTGTAATAGAATCTTAAATAGAATTTTCATGTTTATCTTTTGCTGATGAAATTTAAGAAATAATAAATTACCCGTGACATAATTCTGTGATGATCTAATCCCAACACATCGTGTCTCATCACTGGCAGTTGTAGATGAGGCTCAATTTTGGAGTCATTATTTGAAACTGGTTCCTCTTGTAAAGTTTGATTAATTGCATTAACGTGTGAAACAGCTGATTGTATTTCATCAGGATACAACGAAGACTCGTCAATATCTTTTTCACATGCTATTATTGCTAATTTTTCCTCTACTTCTTTCTCTATAAAAGACTGCTTGTTTTGAACAAATTGAATAGGTGGCACAACACCTATGACACGCAGCTGTGATAATTCATGCCGAATAATTTTGGCACATCTTTGCAATTCTTCTTCAGTAACAAGCGAGGAAGCATTGTTGTCGCTGTATGTCCAAAACACATTGACACATTTGAAATCTGCTGTTATTTTTACATGAGTGATCTCTATGCCTCTGTTTATGATATCAGATACTTCTCCCATCGATATCTGGTCTGTTATGTGTTCCATAAAGAGTTTATCTCGAATAGCCATTCTGCGCATTGTATGCATAGAGAGTGATTTCTTGACTGGACTGGTGTTTACGACAGATAAATTCATACTTTCATTGTACCACCTTCTGCAATATAAAAATACAGTTATATTTTCGGCAAAAATCGGCAATATGATTTAAAGATATATTCGATTCGTATAAAAGATTTATCCTACTTTTTCGTTTTACTTTTTCGAGTTCCATGCATTATCTTCTTCATGAATCTATTCTCTCTAGAAATATTCGAATAGATGTTAGATGAACTGATATATCTAGCATTCTGGAAGCACATAATAAGAGCACGTGTGCTTTGCATTTTGAATGTTATAACAATATTTAGTTAATTTTACAGCCAAACAAGCAAAATTTGCCGGGTCAACGCGTGTAACTCTTCCGTGATTGTTGATCATATATTGAGATTTATCGACACTTGTAACGATAAATCGTATTCTCTTAGTGACGACAGATGTCGTTAAATAAGGCGGTAAAATGTCAAAATTTAAAAATAAGTTTTAGATTTATAGTATCTTATCAGAAAAATGCAATTGTCTCGTCTGTGGAAACATATGCTTTGGGAATATATAGGAATATATAAGACAAACTTTATATAAAAAGATTTTATTATAGTTAGTTAATTATTTGATATATAGATTGTTGAAAGATAAGCAATAACAAATTAAATATTTTTCTTATAACTAGTGTACACAACATAATACTGACATCTTTTTTTTAATATATATTACGCATTTGTTTTTTCAATCTCAGTCTTCTTAACAGTGGTTTTTTCTCTTTTCAAATCCTAAAATATTATAACAAAATTAGCAACTATATATAAATTAGAAGCAAAGTGAATAAAAGGTGAAAATATTTGTTACCTTCTCTTTCCTCTAAAAGTTCTTTTCTTCTGTTCTTAAGATCAGGAGGCAAGTTTTCAATCATACTTTCGATAAAATTATCTAAAACTAGTGATCTGTTCATTGATATTATTGCATTCCTGCAGACAGGACATTTCCTCTGTTTTTTACTCCACATGTTTATACAGTGATGGCAAAATGTGTGAGTGCAATTTAATGTTGTTGCTTTCACAAATAATTCCGAGCATATGCTACAAGTCAACTGTTCGTCCATAATATCGCTCACTTTTTCAAGAACATTTCCTTTAGTGTTAGTCTCGATATTTTGACTGAATCCAGTCAAATCTATCGTATCTATTATATTCAACGCCGAAGATTCGTCAACAAATTCTATAAAAATGCAGCTATCCACTGCATTTGGAATAGTTGACGTGTTTGCTAAAAAAAATAACAAGACTTATGATAATTAATTTATAAAAAAAGATATAAGAAAATACATGACTAAAAAATAACATTAAAAGAAAAATACATACCATTCAACATCGCCTGTGAGCTTCCCGCTCTAGCTTCTTGTTCTTTTAAAGCTTTTTCTGTTTCTTTCAATCTCTCTTCTAGCATACTTTTTTCGTTCAACAATTTAGCTTGAATATTTTTTTCTTCTTTTACTTTGTTTTCCATTATATTTCTCCATTCCTTTTGTTGCTCCTCTCTCCATTTTTCCATTTGTTCTTTCATTTTTGTTTCTAACATTTCTTTTTCTTGTTTACTCATATCTAATGCTTCCTGCCATTTTTGTTTCTCCTCATTCAATCGTGTTTCAAACTGCAATCTTTCCTTTTCTAATTTTTCCAATAATTGAGAATAGTTGTTCTTCAAATGTTGTTCTTGACTATTGCCCGTTTCTATTTTACTTTCTAGTACTGCAATTTGTTTTAATAAATTCTCTTTGTCATCCTTAGCAACAACTTGTTGAGATAACAGATCTTCGAGCTGTTGTTTTAATTCTATTTGCTCCTTTTGTTTCATTTCCAGTTTATCTTTAAGCTCCTTCCGCTGATACTCTTGGTTTTCGGAAAATGTTTTTTGTTTTATAAGAACAGTATCAAGTATTTTTTCATCTATTCGTGGTTTTTTAACACAATGCTCTCTTTCAGCGAGAGTAAATTTGTATTTAAATGTTTCATTTGGGCTAAATTGTATAACATCATCAGGACTAAGTCTTTGCATTACTCCAGGAAGAATGGCAACATTGTTGACAAATGTTGCGGAAGAACTTAAATCTTTAATTGTCCATTCGTTATAGCCTGAGCATCTAAAGATACAATGTCTTCTAGATATGGTAACATCTAATATAATTTCATCATTGTCTCTTGCACGACCAATTCTGAACTGTAATACAAAATAAAATTATATTTAAAAAATTTTATCAACAAGTTTTCTATGTGTATTTTGGACATACAACAAAAAAATGCTACAAATGTTGTGACAAACTACTTTGGTTAATCAAATTTGGATACAAATATTTTAGCTTTATCGCATCTCATATCAGCATATATTAATATCTTTTTACTTATAGATCATAAGTATTTTACTATATTTACATATATTTTGTTATATTGGTAAACAAAACTAAAAACATCCATGCAAGATACATAAATATTTATCATGCATGCAAAATTGTTTATATCAATTAAATTTAAAATTTATATGATTTATTCAAAGAATTCTATAATCTTTAGAGAGCTGCAAGACATTGCAATGTCTTGCAAACAATATGTAGTTTAAAAATTATGAATTAAATATATATTGTGTTTCTTAAAAAGTTTTCCAGTTTTTTCATTTTTTCATAGAAAAAAATCTAGAAAACTTTCTGATCAATTCAATATACTGCTGTTAAAGTAAAATCTTTATGATTTAAAAAAACTCATAAAGTTAATGAATATAATTTTTGGTTATACTCTTTCTTACCTCGTTTTTATCAATACGTATATGATCTTTGTTATCAATTCTTACTAAAACTGGTTCAAGAATTTTTGGCTCTACTTCATCAGATGATCTTTTCGAACGTTCCATTATTTAATAGGTAACCTTATATAAATAATTATGCTAAAATTGTGAATAAATATTGGACATAATAGATTGTTTGGCCAAATTAAATCACGGCCATATGAGATATTCAGCCAAACACTAAACTATTTTCGTAAAATTTCTTATATTTTTTACACAGTGCAGTTGTAATAATAATTATTATTATTAAATTTTATTCAAGGAAAGCTGAGAAAAACAAAGCTACCAAGGTTAGTTTAAACGTGCTCGAGTAACTTATCAAAATCATCGAATGTAAGTATTATAGATTGCCAAATAACGGTAAGGATTGACTAGAGTGAAAATAGCGATCCTGCAGGACTAGAAATAAAATATGGAATCGTATTCGTCATATTTTGGTCATTATATAAAATGCATAATTATAATATTCATATAAAATCAAATTTTGCAATTTGGCTTTTAAAAATCTATAATTAATGAAAGTATGAATTCATAGCCAGGTGCAATATTTTCTTTTATTTTCTATATGTTAAATTTTAAAAGATAAAAAAATGTTGGAAGAGATATTTATTAGATAATAGGCAATATACAATTAAAAAAATTTGAAAAAATATGATTTCAAATCTGAAGATCTAAATCTTAGGATATGAGTTATAACATTTTTAAACTTTCAAAAATCGAGTATTAGAATAATAAAATCACACGTTTTAAGACAAAGTAAAATATATATATTTTTATTAATTTATACGCTTAATATATGTGTATTTTTATTTTAAGATAATCTTGGAACAAGAACGAACTATGAATACTGTCCTAATTCTTTTATATGTAAAATTTTTGAATTATTTAATTAAAAATTAACATAAAGTACTGATATAAAATAATGTAGTAAAAAATATCTAATAATTAAGGATTCTTACTAATAACTATTTTACGATAATCTTGTGGTTGTTTCTTCAAAGGTTTATTCTCTTTATCTTCAGTCTCATTCAACGCGTAATCATCAAATGTAACTTTTAAATGCTTTTTTTCAAAATCTTCTTTAAAATCTTCTTTAAAATCTTTTTTAAAATCTGTATTAGTAATTTGACAATCAGTTTCTGACATATCAATATTATCATTTTCTGCTGCTGTTTTTAATTGCGTTTTCATAATCAAAATTTCAGCCTAGAAAATAAAAAGAGATTTAATATAAAATGTCTTAAAAGAATTATCCTCTTTGTTCTCTAAAATTAAATACTCACTTCTAAGGATTTTGCCTTGGAAAACCAATATCGAAGTTGTTTCGAGATGTCGTGCTTCACTTCTTCTTGCACCAACATTTGTGTAGTTTGCATCTCTAACTTTTCATTTAAATGTTTAATTTCTTTTATCTTTGTGTTTAATAACAACTGAGCGTAGCTGCAAGTTAAAATTTTTCTTTGTATTATTTTTATCTATATTATTGTATTGTTTTATTATATAAAATAAATACAAATGAATTAAACATAAAATTATTTTGACTTACTTAAAGTCGTTATTTACAGATTCTATTTCTTTCTGATTATTTTTTTTCATTTCAGCCTTCAATTTGGTCTCAAGATTAAAGACTCTACTCTTATACATCTCCAGAAGATTTGCTTTCTCTTGCAGTGTATCGATTTCACTGTTTTCCCACTTTCTAAACATAGCATTATTCTCTGCCTTTAATATTTTAATTTCGATTGATTTTGAATTTATCTCTTGTTTTGCTTCTTGGTATTTATTCTGAAGACCTTTCAAGTTATCCAATAATTTTTTTCGTTCATCTTCGACCTCAGCAAATAAGGAATTACCTGCAAGATTATTAATACTAAAGAAATTTACAAACAAGCATATGTTAAACGTTAAGTGTTATCTTACCTTTACGTGTATCGCTAGCAGGCGTTACTTTTAATGACGCCAATTCCATACGACACACAGCTAATTCTTCCCGAACACTCTCCAATATTTCATTTTTATCCTCTAGTTGATTCTTGGTTACCTATAAAAATATTTTCTATTAAACTTAACATACATATACACATGCATGCACGACACATACACTATATGTTATGTTAAAAATATAAATTACATGCTCTTTACTTACTCTCAAAATATCTTTAAGCTCCTCACAATGACTCTCCACATTTTTAAGTTTTATTTCCAATTGTGTTGTTTTCTTTGATTCATTTTCAAGAAGTGTAGCTAGTATTTCAGTTTCTTTCTTATATATTGCTGAATTATCATCCATATAAGTAGAATCATGAGATTGTTGATTTACAAGATCTTTATATTTTTTTAGCTCCTTAAGTAACCTTTCAATTTCTTGCTTATATTTTGTAGTATCTGTTTCTAATGTTGCTATATAATTCTCATATTCCTTTTTTTCAGCCGTGTGACTAATATATGAAGATAGAAAATAGTAATAAAGTCTTATATCACATGACACATGTGTCATTAACATGTGTATTTAAGTTTACATACATGTGTTATTAAAATTATTTAAACTCTACATAATTATAACTATAATCTTTACAGAAACAATTATAAATCTTACTTTCTTTCTTTCTCAGCAAGGATTTTTTGCGTTTGTATTCTACATTCAGCGAGTGAATCCTCTAAAACTTTGTTAGATTCTTGAAATTCTTTCTCGAGCGCATTGTGAGTTTCTACTTTAAGTCGTAAAACATGCAATTGTTGTTGAAGAATCTCCTGTTCTTGTGTCAGCTTCTCCACATGCTTCTCAATTGTTACATCCATATTTTCGTATTTTTCACACTCGGACATCTCGATTATTAGTTATATTTCAATTATACTCACAAGAAACTATACACACAATATACACTGCTATTTCAAATTTATCGGTTAGAGCGGTTGAATAATAACCATAGAATATACAGTCACAATAACTCCTTGTCGGCATCTATGATTATGAAGCCAAAATAAAGTGCGCATGCGTGAAAACGCTCCCTTTTATCCGAATTTTAGGTTTGTCGCGTCCTTCGTGTCACATGCCTCAACATGCTTTTACTTACTTTAATATGCTCCAATTTATAGCGTTACGTTACGTATACTGACAATAGTAGTATAATAAATAAAATTTAAAACATTTTTTCAATTGATTTTTATTTTGATGTCAGCAACAAGCATTTATAAAATGTGATTTAAAATTTGTATTTACTTTTGCTTGACAATGATTTTTAAGATGTACATGTGTTTTAGTCAAATAATCCAAAGCCCATGTCATCGTCTTCTGACTCGGATTCTTCCTTCTTTTCTTCCTTCTTCTCCGCAGCAGAAGCATCAGCAGCTGCAGCTGCTGGAGTTGCTACAGCAGCAGCAGCAGTGGCAAATTTGCTTGGATCCTAAAAAAAGTCATTGCTTTTAATAAATTTGAATCTTGATTAACCAAGCACACAACACTTTTACATTGTGTTTAGTTCAGACTGCACTGTTGTGCAATATTTTAATCATAAATCTTGACGTATCAGTGGGTTCAGCTATTTCTAGCTCTGATACGTGAACCAAGATTTCAGACGTGTCAACTTTCATCATAAATTTATTCAAGAATAATTAGAAAACTGTAAGATCCGACATATGAAATCATACCTTGATATATTCCTTAATGGTGGCAGCTTCAGCGAATTCAACATCAGTAACAGCAGCAATAGCCAACAAGTTTTTGAAACCATTTGCAATGCTGTGTGGTGCACTGGCGACCGTAGGATAACCAATTGTCAAACAAACCGAAGCTAAGTTTGCAACTCCGGCCATGAACTTTTCACGAAGATCTTCAGGTTTGATGTCTAGAATTTCAGGTGCAAAAATGGTACCGGAATCATATACTTGCTCAACCAACAGTCCGTATGAAAATGGAGAAATATTCAGCATGTTCAAGAGTGTAGCTTCGGAAGCTCCCACTTTGTCACCAGGTTTAAGAATGTGCACATCATTCTGAAAGTTGATATCACCGTATTATTTTCAATAATAAACTTCAAAAATATTAAATTTGTGGATTCTTTTAACAAAGTACTTACTATAATTTCAATAGTACCCTTGGAGATTTTTGTCGGAATACTCAAAGCTTGGAAAAAGGAAGTCTTCTCAGGACCAAGTCCTGTATTTTGAGCTGGGATGATGACGCTCAAAGGTGCAATGGCTCCCGCTCTGGCAGGTGCACGTACTTTATTTTCCAACAACTTGTCTCTTACTTCAATCAAATCTCCGCGAGTGAATACAAATCCAACATTGCCACGAATGTGAGGAAGCAATTTTTCCAGTGCTGCGTTGCGTTCTATATGACCACGAATTGCTTTTCTCATCATGGTGTTTTTACCCATCAATACAACTGCATTGCCACGCAGTGACATGCGTATTTGTTGCATTTGCTTTGATCCAACATTGTCTGCACCCACAATGAAGCATTTGGGAAAATCATCCAATAGTTGCTAATATTAAGAAAAAATATATTTTTAGAATACTTCAATATTGTAAGCAAACAAATTATCAGGAATTTGCATATCTTGCGAGATACAGAATTAAAATAAAATAATACACGCTAATGAAAATAGAAGTACTTACAACAAGCTTGGTAAAGTAATTTGATTTCCATGTTGCTTTGTCCTCCCTACCCATCTTGAACTGTGTGTAGGGATACCTTACGGAAGTTTAAGGACTGAAAATGATAGAAGAAAGAAATTAGGATATAATGCACGAGAAATAAAATAAAATTCAACAATGTTACTGTTTTTTTTTTCAGACTACATAAAATGTACTTTTCGTGCATAAAACTCGCACACAAGTGGGTTCGCTTATTTCTAAGCCTTGTGTGTTTCCCGAATTTTCAGACGCGTGATATTTTCATCATTTTAGTGCATATTGTTAAACAAGTGATATAAAAATGTTTGTAAATTTAACAAGCCGTATGTTGCACAGTGGCCGATTGTTTGATATTAAATGCTATGTTCGTACTGAATAACTTAATTTGTCGATGTAAATAATATATGTAGTACAAATATAGTATGGATTTAGTATGAATAAGGCATATAGTGTGAACTTGATCAGAGCAAGATGCAATTAAACTTAATTGTACGAAACCACATGGTTTCATAACCTTAATATATGTAATGCGGCTTGAAATAATTATTTAATATATATCTTTCATGTTATTTTTATATGAAAATAATGGACTATAGCATCTTAAATCTATAATAATAAGTAATATAAAAATAGATCTTATAACAACGTTATGAAAATAACAAAGTAAACTGTAACGTACCTCCACGAGTTCCACAACGTTGAAGAGTGCAATAAAGAATGAAAAAGGAAACGGAAGCAGAGTTACAGAGTGCAAACGGATTTTGCGCATGCGCAACATTAGTGACGTGTCGCAACGTAGTGAAATATGATTGGTGCAGATCCAAAAGTATGCTATATCATTCCTGACCTCATTGGTTAACATCTAGTGAATTTGGTCATTTTTTTACATTACATTACTAAGGCCGGATCTACAATAGGTGTAGTTAATTTTAAGTCGTAAGATATGACGTAAAATTGACCAATCATAGTCAATTATTCTTCGCATATTCGTCATATTGTAGATCCGGTCTAAACCATAGAAATAGTAGGAATGGGCATGCCTTGCTGAGCAGAATAAATTCAACTTTTTTCTCTGACGCTATAATCTTTCAAAACGTAGTAAGTAATTACGTAAACGTCACTATTATCTAGCGTCCCATGAATTGTATCTGAATTGAACGTAAGAAGACGAAGAGCAATATCTGCATTTCTGTCACAAGTGGTGTGACAAAGCAAGAAGTGCAGCTATTTCTCTTCGTCTTCTTGCGCATGCGCAAATCGTTCAACTTGTCGGCTCTAGTGGCTAAGGCGCGCGAAGGTGTCAGCGTTCCGTGCCATTAGAACGCGTCGCAGGTCGCCGAATTGTCATCATGTCGCATTAACGTAACGTGCAGGCGGTGTCGAATCAAGTCAGCCAGTTCTCACACGGAGACCGGATGGTGAGGCTGTAATTGTGCCGCGATTCACATGAGCAGCGAGAGAACGAGCCGCGCGACTCTCCCCCTCCGTCCGTGCCGCGAGCATCAACCCTATCGCAACCCGTGAGCGCGTCACGTTGCGATTTCGTCGAAGTGGCTGCAAAAATCCGAGCCCCTCGCCATCCGGCCGTCGTTTCTGCCGGAGTCCGGAAACGAGGCAACGTGTGCAGTCGCACTCGCGCGGTGCCACAGACCCGATGAAGATCAGTGTGTTGTGTATCTCGCCGTCACTGCCCCCGTTGATATCGTCATCATCATCGTCATCGCCATCATTATCGTCATCGTAGTGACATATTCTCGGACAGCGAAGAAGGCGCGTGGGCGACGCGGAGTAACCGCGCTCCATCCTCCTCTCGAATGTGTGCACCGCGCGCGCCACAGCCTCTCGGGAAGACTTTCTGGACGTCCTCGTCCTCGTCGACATTATGTATTTGTCGACGTGTGTTATCGTTTAACTGTTAGCGAGTGCTACCAGCGAGCACGAGGCCAGATCTTCGGAGCATCAAGAGCGTTCCTCTCCCTTCTCCCTCTGTCTCTCTCCCCCTCCTTCATCTTTTCTCTCTCTCTTTCTCTCTCTCTCTCTCCCTCTCATTCTCTCCGTCTTCGTGCTTCTTTCTCTTTTTTTCTCGGGTCGCGTTTCCTGTGCTCTCGCGCTCGTCACGAGTCCACGCAGGTAGGGCGAGCCGATCCGTTCGGAGAGAGGTGGGATCGAACGACGAGGAAAGCGAGTCCCGCAGTCTCGATCGGTGCAGTCCGGCCGTAACACGCAGAAATCAAGAAGCGATCGCGCGGTGAGAGAGAGAGGAAGGTAGCCAGCGCGAGGTGGAGGGCGGCGAGGGACTTAGCCCCATCGGTATCGCGGGGGAACGCTGCTGGTGCCCAACATAGGCAGCGGTGGCGGTGGTAGCGATAACGGCGTTGTCCCGATTGTTTTATTCTACCGCTAGCAAGACGTGCAACGTGGAAACAAGTGGAGGCTATTGGCGTCTTTCTCGTGGGAAACAAGACAGTCGTGCAAGGAAAAAAAAAAACGAAGCGGAGACGGAGAAACGAGAACAAGAGGAAGGACTGCTTCGCTATATGTTGCACGCGTTACGTGCCGATAGATACGCGCCGCGAGAAAGACAACCGCAGTTGGGAGTGAAATCGGAGTGCGGAAGCGGAGAACGGACAGACGCAATAACAACGACGAGGACGAGGTGATACACGAACGAGACACGAGACGACGGGAACGTGGTTCAACAGGTAGAAGAAGTCGGGAGCGAGTGAACGTGATTCAAAATGGCGCTGAACCAAGACGTGGACCAGTTGTCCAAGAGCAACCTCGTCGTCAGAATTGATCAGAATTCCGAGTCTGATCTGCAGGCGCTGTTCGACACCGTCCTGAAGCCCGACTCCAAGCGGCCGCTACAGGTGCCGCTGCGCATGCGCAATCTGCCGGATTCCTTCTTCAACCCGCCGTCCACCGGCAGCAAGAGCCCGTCGATCTCGCACTCGCGTGAAAACTCCGCGGATTCCGCATTCGGCACCGCTGTTACCGCGACACCGAGCAACGGTGGAGGCAGCGGCGCGCCTAATGCAGGCACGAACGGCGCCGGCGGCGGCGGCGGCGGCGGCGGCGGCGGCGGTGGCGGCGGCGGTAACGCCGCAGGTGCCGCAGGTACAGGCGGTGGTGCGGGTGCCGGCAGCGGCACAAATAGCGCCGCAGGTGCGGTCGCAGCAGCAGCCGCTGCTGCAGCGGCAGCCGCCGCCGTAGCTGGCCTCACCGTTGCTCATCCCCGCGCCCATAGCAGTCCGGCCTCCCTCCAGCAGACGTATGCTTCGGCGCAGCAGGCGCCCCAACACGCGCCGCAGCCTCACGCGCGTCACCATCATCATCAAAAGCAGCGCAGCTACGACGTCATCAGCACGGTCGACGACCTAGGTCCACTGCCGCACGGATGGGAGCAGGCACGCACCCCTGAGGGCCAGATCTACTTCCTCAAGTGAGTGACACTCTTCTCTTGCGCGTGTTTTGCGCTTTTTTTTTTTTTTTTTTTTTTTACTTCCGTTCTCCGTGAATAAGAAGTGGTGAGAGGAAGAGAAATATATACGACTTCGATCCTCCTTTCGATACACAGTTTTATTTCAAATCTTCTGTCTTGTAATTTCAACATTTTAGACACACCTTTCTGTATTTCCGTTTCTCCCTTCAAACATACACGCTTGTTTTGCATCAAGGATGAAATCGTGCGATTGAATTAAATCTTATATATTTCTTTTATTTTTGTTTTTGTTTTGGAAAAAGATTTAATCAATTTTACTCGCTAGCATCGTAAGTGTATGTAAGACTTTATATTTGGAGCATATTCATCAATTTATATCTATTTTTAGTTAGTGAAAGAAGTGATTAATTCATTTGTTATAAACTGAGAGATGTCTCCTAAAATTTCGAGCAATATAAATATATTTAATGTACACTAGTTTATGCTGATGCGTTTAATCGAATTTATCGGAGATTTATCAGCCTGAAAGTATTCTTAAAATATACATGGAAATGCAGAATATTTTTATATCCGCGATAAGATTATTTTATACTTTTAAAATCGAGTATAAATTTCATGCTGTGCGTCGTTATGGTTTATTGGAGACCGGTTGTCTTGCGGCTCGGTGCCGCGTCGATAATGCTTTCCGCCACATAGAAGTCTCGCATACCTCAAGGCCGACACTGTTTTTTTTTTGTTTTATCTCGCCGGCTTACTCATCTTCTCTCTACTTGCTCGTTGCCCTTCCGATTCCCTACTGTTTCTCATCATAGACAGTGGGGGGAAGAAAGACGCGGTCGCGGTTTCTCCGTTAAACTCCTCTTCGCTGCTGCCAGCATCTTTTGCTCTGAAAACTGAATGTGAACTCGGGATACTCGACAGTGTATATTGACTGTATAGTTGATTGAATGTACTAATTAACGTGTTCGGATAAATAGAAGAGGTCGTTATTAACGCAGGAAGTTTCCAATTTTTTATGTAACATGGTACATGTCTCATATTCTCCATTAACTCTTTTAAACGTTCTCTAAAAGCATGCAAGGCCGTCAACTTCTTAATTGATGTGAATTAATTTGTATATGTAAGAAAAGTAGATTTCAGAAAAAAAGTGCAATTTACTCGATAAATTTATATAAGATAAAGAATAGCACACTTTCTCACGAATATTTTGTATAAATTTCGAGGAATCTATAGCAATTTATCCAATTTAAAGTTTTATTATTTAGCTTTTACTTAAAATAAAAAATAAAATTCTAATATAGCTTTATTTTAAAGGAAAATTAATTAAAGAGCACAATTTTGTCACCTATTTTGTGTCAAGGCTTAACTCGTGAATCGTGGTCCTTCTTTTAGAGGCGATTATAATTCAAAAATTCACCTTGATCTTTTCCCTAAAGAAGATAAATTTGTCAGAGAATCTACCATTAAAAGATTATGAATCATGAAACAGAGCTTGTATCGATGTTTTTCATAATACAATAACTATTGTGCACGATACTGATCGTAATTTCGGAGTACTGAAAAGGAAATTCTTACAATTAACTTCTCTTTTCTCGTATATACCCTCTCGCTTCCTCTTCGATGTTTTTCATTTGGCTTGGTATGTTCCAGGCTTTCCACCACGCGTCTCAGTTTTCCAACTTGATCCACCTGTGTCATGAGTGCTGAGACTCTCATATATCATCTATCGTGGGAAATTCCATCACTGTCGCTCGCTTTATCCTTTCTCCAATCAATCTGTCAGTAATTCAGACCGCTGGCTAAAGTATTCTTTTAAATTTATTTAGGAATTATTTTCCTTTTATGTTCATCAGAGATACAGACTGTCATCTTCAGCCTTGATTTTTAAAGGACGAGTGCATTTCCTGCAAATTACGTTAGAATAAAACTATTAGAAATAATTTAGGAAAAGAAATTGTGAAAGCATATCCGTTAATCGTTCCACGAAGTTTTGATCTTATTTTCGAAATGTTCGAAATTTATATTCTGCATTTGTAATTCTTTGATATTTTCTCAGAAAAGTGGGGCATTTCTATTTTGCCCATGTCTCTTTTCGCGCGAACATATTTCTGAGAGTTACAAAGAAAGAAGCTCTTTTTAATTTGATTGACTCGTATATTTAGAAGACCTACCGAAGCGGCCGTTATTCATGTGCGCATCTATTTAGTTTCCTACTTAAGAATTATAGAAATAAATATGCAGTAGATTTATTTTCGAAGAACATGTTTTATATAACGTGAAAATCCTGTATTACCGTTAATAAAAAGAAATAAAATTTTACAAAATGGAGTAATAATTTATGGACGAATTATGAAGTTACTTATACATTTTGATCTTCTTGCAGAATGTTGTTTATAATGTTAATTGTTGGCTTTCCGTTCTTCGCTCGCTTCTCTCGTGAGTTTTTGATAACGAGTTTTGGTTGTGATGTATGGTACTTAAGATTTTCGTGCTTATTTATTCGTGCTCTTTAAGTACTCTTTTGCTAGATTTGAAGTCGAAGTTTCAATGGATGACATTAAGCGGTTATCGAGATATCTTTTTCAGATATTGTCACAACTGTAAAGCTCACTATCAATGGGTAAGGCATCGCATTGATATGTGAAAGTAATTTAGAGAAATACGAAGATAATGGGGTTAATTATGCGATAGCGACGTGTTCCGTTTCTCGAAATTTACATACTTGTGTGTTATCGCCGCTGGCACGGGAGCGATTTGAATGGATAATGAAGCACTTTTGCGAATATGCTTGTGGTTCTTAAATGCCTCAGGTAGTATGTTAAGATCTATCTTATTTCACGTATTTTTTTTTTAGAGATAACTAAACGAATACTCAAGTTTATTTTAAATAAAAAATACTTTTACAAATTACTTTAATAAATAAATGTGGGAGATATTTATATGTTTGTTAAAATATACCAAAAAAAATGATTAGAAACGAAAGATTTGTATAGAGAAAATAAAAAGGTTCTATGCGTTGCGTCGAAATTCTACCGCGTATTACGCCATCAAGTTTTCCTGTGCTACACGTGCGAAATTATGCGCATGAATCGAAAGCACACTCGCCTTCCCGTTCATTCCACGACGCGGGAAGTGGAACACAAAGGCACACGAAAGAAAGGGAATGGTCTATTGCGCTCTATTGCCGACTGAATCCGACGAACTATCGATTATACTATCAATATGATCGTATAACGTTTATATCGCCCTGTAGCTATTCTTATCAAAAGTCAAGATTTTGTTTGTTACAAACTGCGAGTGAATCTTTCGATAGGCGATAAATTGCGTTATCTACTCTTCAGATATAATGCATTTTTTCACGATACAATCGGTTTCGCGATTGAAAACAATATCAATATTGATGAATTCAATTTTTAACATCGTACCTCCGCAACAGTTATCGTCACGCTTTTCTCTCCGCACATCTCTCGCATTTTTTTCTTTTCTTCATCGGAGTTCAGTTTCTTCCAAGTTAAACACGCACTCCATTTTCTGCAGAACGTCGGCGAATTTTACGGAAATAAAATGTAGAGCTCGTTTTTTTTTCGGTAGGCGTAATACGAGGCGCAGTGAGCGTGAGCTCGTCGGTAAAACGCGATGCAAGGTGCAGCGAAGCGAGTTGCTGCGCGCTTATTGCATTATGCGGTAATGATCACCGCGTCGCGGCGAGACTGTTTTTCTTCATAATGACATTATAATAACAATATTTGCCATTTGTAACAATACTGCAAAGAAGTGTTTTGCGAAGAAGAAAAATAATTATGTGCGTAACATCGTAAAAATTAAGTAGAAAAATATACGAGCATAATACACATCTTCATATCTCTACAGCTCTTTCTATGATCGTGCTGTCGTTACATTTCTAAAAATCTATATTTACTTCGGAATTATCTTATCTTTTAGAACCATTTTATTCCGATTGAATATCGACGAAATCATAAAATACCTAAAAGAATATTTCAAATAATAAGTTTACCGTTTTGTAATCACAGTTGCGCGCGTCTACATTATATTTCTAGATATTTGTTATTGATTTCGAATTTGGAGAGATAATTTAAAAATCTAAACACAATTTGAGTCTTCTTTCGAATATTATCGTTGCATTCTTATTAGAGAAAGTACCAGGCGTAATCTGTAATATCTTTGACACTTTGTGCACTCCATTTTTCAAGTTATGAAAGACAGACGCACTATCGATTATCGTTGAGTTTTTAAGGAAAACAACAAACTGATATATATACATATATGTATGTGCGTTGTATCATCCCGAGTATCGTCAAACAAATTCGACGCTCTGTTTTAGTGTCATTTTTGTTCCGAGCACGCGAAGAAAACATGACCTTTTGCCTATTACGCATCGCATCCAGACAAACAATTCTGATTTAGGCCAGTTTTTATGTATTCCAATGAACTTCTTGTTTCTTCATTCCTAGATGCTGTCGTGACAAACACTTCGCGAAAATTGCCTAGTACAAAATATTTAGTTTTATTCGTCGCGATGCATGTTATTCCGAAAACATTTATTTTTAACTTGTAAAACATGAAAGAAACACGGGGATAAAAGAAAAATATTTATAACATAAATTAAGCGTATAAAAATTTATTTGATGTACCCTGAAAGAAAAAAAAACATGCGCACATTGTCAACAGATTGGAGAATATTCAAAAGTGTCTTTTTTGAAACTTATCCACATTTTCAACGAAACATAAATAAATGGCACAGCTATGCTTCATATAAATATTCATTTTTCGAGTAATATTTCTTTCTAAATCCAAGAATAATTGTTGATTATGACTTTCACAAAGCTCATTAATGTCATTAATTATCCATAATGATGCTTATTATATAATGCTTACATAACTAAATTGTTTTACATTGTAAACAGTATTCTCTGATCTAAAGAGATTAATAGTAATTATTTTGATATTCGAAAAATTGCAGTAAAAGTTAATGAAAGTAG